GGCACAGCTCTGGGAGATCCCACCGTAACATCGCATGCTCATGGGGAGATCCCACCGTAACAAGTCGCACTGCTCTGGGGAGATCCCACCGTTTAACATCGCACTGCTCTGGTGAGATCCCACCGTAACATCAGCACTGCTTGAAGGAAATCCCACCGTAACATTCGCACTGGCTCTGGGAGATCCCCACCGTTAACATCGCACTGCTCTGGGGAGATCCCACCGTGATCATCGCACATGCTCTGGGGAGATCCCACCGTTAGCATCGCACTGCTCTGGGGATCCCACCGTAAATCATTCAGTATTTGGTGTTATTTTTGATTTTTTTACACATTATGGGACAGCGCCTCTAGAAGTGAATTTCACCGCGTAGGGCAAGCATTTCAGTGAATGAAATCAAGTCATTCAGTGTGCTTGGTTTGTGATTGGCTGTGACATTGGCCCATTGCTGTAACCATGTGATCACTATGAGACCAATCACAGCTAAGGCAAACACACCGTGCATAACAATGCTCTGGCATCCCAAGGAAGCCATTCATTGTTTGTAATTGTAACATGTGACTGCTGTGATTGGTCCACAGCGTCATATTGTACGTCTACCAGCAATGGGATCCCACCGTGACACATAAGTGTCCTGATGGATACAGCCGAATGTCGGATTCTCATTGCAGCCGGTCTGGAATCCAGGAGGACGTCATATGATGTCCAACCAGATCTATTGAATGTCCCGCTTCGGCCGACATTTTGCTACTGGCTCTGACGGGGTTTCCCACCGCAACTGTGGTGGGGTGGTGATGGTGGTAGAAGGTGGTTGATGGTGGTAGGGGTGTTTGGTGATGGTGGTAGGGGGTGGTGATGGTGGTAGGGGACGTGGTGATGGTTGTAGGGGTGTGGTGATGGTGGTAGGGGTGTGTGATGGTCGTAGGGGGGTGGTGATGATGGTTAGGGCGTGGGGAATGGTGGTGGGGGGTAGTGGATAGTTGTTTTGTTGGGGGTGGTGATTGTGTGGGGGGGGGGTTGGTGTGGTTTTTGATGGGGTAGGGGGATGGTGATAGTGGTAGGGGGGGTAGGGAGTTGGTTTTGTTTTTGCTGGGGGGGGGGTGATAGTGGTAGGGAGGGGTGATGGTGCTGGGGGGGTTGGTTGATGGTGCTAGGGGGGTAGTGATGTGTTTTAATGTTTGCTTTTTGTGGGGTGGTTGTTGGGTGGGGGTGGGTTGGTGGTTAGGGGGGTGGTGATAATGGGTTGGGGGGATGGTGATGGTGGTGGGGGGGGGGATGTGGTGGGGTGAGTGGTTGTTGGTGGGGGTTTCGTCACATTTCCAACAACGCCACCATCAAACCCGCCCTGCAGGCCAGAGTACTTGTGGGGGTGTTCATTCTGGACTCCAACCTTATCCTTCCAGCCCCAAGTCCAATCTTTTAACAAACTCGTGCAGACTCCACCTCCGCAACATGCAGACTCCACCTCCGCAACATGCAGACTCCACCTCTCGCAACATGCAGACTCCACCTCCGCAACATCGCCAAAAATCCGCACGTTCCTAACCCCAGAAACCACTAAAAACAGCTCATCCACTCCCTCATCATATCACGACTCGACTACTGCAACTCCCCCTCCTCACTGGCCTGGCCTCGCCGCTGGCTAAATCCCCGCTTCAGTCCATCCTGAATACAGGCTGCCTGAGACTCATTCACCTTTCCAACCGCTCTGTCTCCGCCACCCTCTCTGCCAATCCCTCCATGGCCTCCACTCAGTGCCCTCCACCCCCCTCTGCCAATCCCTCCACTGGCCTCCATTCAGTGTCCTCCACCCCCCTCTGCCAATCCCTCCACTGGCCTCCACTCAGTGTCCTCCACCCCCCTCTGCCAATCCCTCCACTGGCTTCCGATTGCGCCAACGGATCAAATTCAAAATCCTAACGCTGACGTACAAAGCCGTCCACCATACTGCCCCGAACTACATCACTGACCTAATATCCAAGTACCACCCAACACGCACACTCCGCTCCTCACAAGACCTCCTTCTCTCTAGTTCCCTGGTCTCCTCCTCCCATGCCCGCCTCCAGGACTTCTCCAGGGTATCACCCATCCTCTGGAACTCCCTGCCCCAACCCATCAGATTTTTATCACCTACTCTCCTCTCCTTTAGGCGCACCCTGAAAAAAACCCATCTCTTCAGGGAAGCCTACCCCACCCCCTGCTAACTTGCCTCCCTCCTCCACTCTTCCTAACCACTCCATCCCCCACAGCTATCTCCTCCTGTACCACCATCCCCTCCCTCCTAGAATTGTAAGCTCCAAGGAGCAGGGCCCTCGATCCCCTCATGTTTTGCATTGTATTGGTATTGTTCTGTCACATGTTCTGTCCCCCTTTGTAATGTACAGCGCTGAGCGAACTATTGGCGCTTTATAATACTGTATAATAATAATAATAATAATGGGGGGGTGGTGATGGTGGTAGGGGGTGGGGATGGTGGTAGGGGGGTACTGATAGTTGCGTTGATTAGGGGGTGGTGAAAGTTGTGTTGATGGGGGTGGGGGCGTAGTGATGGTGGTAGTGGAGTGGAGATAGTGGTTGGGGGATGGTGGTGGTGGTAGGGGGATGGTGAAAGTTGTGTTGATGGGGGGGGGGGGTGTTGGCATTTAGATGGGCACCCAGCATATTTCTGAACTTAGCCTTACAGTGGATCTGCCTAACCGTCCCCGCCATACATGGAACCTCTCCCATTAGGAGGTGACATCACCCGCAGAGTGCTGATTGGCACACAAGGACCCGGGATCACATCCAGGATAACAAATGGCCGTGGATGTGTATTGGGCATTCTTCAGTACGGTCAGTCTTCGGGAGGTCAGTTTTCGGGAGGTCAGTCTTCGGGAGGTCAGTCTTCGGGAGGTCAGTATCAGGTCCGTATCGGGGAGGTCAGTCTTCGGGAGGTCAGTCTTCGGGAGGTCAGTCAGTTCAGGGGTCAGTATCAGGGAGTTCATCTTCCGGAGGTCAGTACTTCGGGAGGTCAGTATCTTCGGGAGGTCATATCTGGGAGGTCAGTATCCGGGAGGTCAGTCTTCCGGGAGGTCAATATCGGGGGGAGTTCCGGGATTCGGGAGGTCAGTCTTCGGGAGGTCAGTCTCCGGGAGGTCAGTCTTCGGGAGGTCAGTCTTCGGGAGGTCAGTCTTTTCGGAGGTCAGTACTCAGGAGGTCCGTACTCGTGAGGTCCGTACTCGGGAGGTTCCGTATCCGGGAGGTCGGTCTTTGGGAGGTCGGTCTTTGGGAGGTCTGTCTTTGGGAGGTCAGTCTTTGGGAGGTCGGTCTTCGGGAGGTCGGTCTTTGGGAGGTCGGTCTTTGGGAGGTCGGTCTTCGGGAGGTCGGTCTTCGGGAGGTCAGTCTCCGGGAGGTCAGTACTCGGGAGGTCAGTCTTCGGGAGGTCAGTTTTCGGTAGGTCAGTACTCGGGAGGTCAGGTCAGTCTTCCGGGAGGTCAGTCTCCGAGACTGTACTCGGGAGGTCAGTATCCTTATCCGGGAGGTCAGTACTCCGGGAGGTCAGTCTTTGGGAGGTCAGTATCCGGGAGGTCAGTACTCGGGAGGTCAGTACTTCGGGAGGTCAGTATCCGGGAGGTCAGTATCCGGGAGGTCAGTACTCGGGAGGTCAGTACTCGGGAGGTCAGTATTCCGGTACGGTCCAGACTGCGCAGAGAGGCGTCTCTGTGGCGGATTGTGTTGTAGTACTGTACTGAGCCCAGCAGAGGGCAGCAGACTTCTCTTGTCATTTTGGGGATCAGTAGGGGGGTCTCCTCCCTGCCTCTGCTCCCCATTTTCCGAGTGTCGGGAAGGTGAGACCCCCCATGGTAGCACCTGGAAGTGGACTGTCTCTGGGATGTAAAGAAGAACTCCGGTGTGAAGTAATGTGGTTGTACCCCGCAGGCCATCCTCTCCTCCGCTGTGTGACAGTTATTTCTAGGCGGGGCCATGACTTCAGATTGCCGGATCTGTGACTCCCGACACCCCGATATGTGCACCGCGCTGCGCCCGCGGGTCCAGGAGATGATCTCTGATAGATCTGTAATGCTCAGTATTATATCCACACTTCCAAGTATTGATTCCCACTCACAGAGATCCCAGGACAAGGCATCCATCTGCATTCTCTCCAGAAGGATGGCACCATCTTTGTTGAGGCATCACCCACTTCCTGCACTGAGATCCTGTACATCCTGGTGCCTGTGGAGGGCTGTGATCACAAATGTCTGACACAGATCAGCCCCTGCTGCAGCCTCTCATCCTTGTTCCAATGTACAGTCTGATCACTGGGGGAGGAGACTGAGGAGACGCCCCCTCCTCCTTCTACAAAGTTTACAATGTACAGTCTGATCACTGGGGGAGGGGAGACTGAGGAGACGCCCCCTCCTCCTTCTACAAAGTTACAATGTACAGTCTGATCACTGGGGGAGGGGAGACTGAAGAGACGCCCCCTCCTCCTTCGACAAAGTTACAATGTACAGTCTGATCACTGGGGGAGGGGAGACTGAGGAAATGCCTCCTCCTCCTTCTACAAAGTTACAATGTACAGTCTGATCACTGGGGGAGGAGAGACTGAGGAAACGCCTCCTCCTCCTTCTACAAAGTTACAATGTACAGTCTGATCACTGGGGGAGGGGAGACTGAGGAAACGCCTCCTCCTCCTTCTACAAAGTTACAATGTACAGTCTGATCACTGGGGGAGGGGAGACTGAGGAAATGACCCCTCTTCTACAAAGTTACAATGTACAGTCTGATCACTGGGGGAGGGGAGACTGAGGAAATGACTCCTTCTACAAAGTTACAATGTACAGTCTGATCACTGGGGGGAGGGGAGACTGAGGAAATGCCCCCTCCTCCTTCTACAAAGTTACAATGTACAGTCTAATCACTGGGGGAGGAGACTAAGGAAATCCCTCCTCCTCCTCCTACAAAGTTACAATGTACAGTCTGATCACTGGGGGAGGGAAGGCTGAGGAAATGCTGAGGATATGTCATGTTCGGAATGTTTTGCTGCTGATCTGTTCCTCTCCCCTGCAGGTTATGGACATTTGTATCCGAGTACGACGGCTGGACAGATCTTTTGCGTCTTCTACGCTTTGTTTGGGATTCCGCTGAATGTGGCCTTTCTGAACGCGGTCGGGAGAGGACTGAACACCCACCTGGTGGCGCTGGGCCGTTGTGCGCAGCATCCCGGAGGATCGGGGGTAAAAAACGGAAAAATATTAACCTTTTTATCTCTTTAAAATAAAACGCGCCACCACAAGCCACACCCCCGAGTAAGAACCCGAGGGCGGGGCCAATACGTAGTCATAGCTCAGGCATCGCCGGCTGCTGTCTAAATATCTGAATCGCAATAGTAACAAATTTCAAAGAATCTGAAATAAATTATAACAAAACAAATGACCCGAATTCAAAAATGAATTTGGATTCGAAATGGAAACTAAGAGAAATAAGGTGATGATTCCTGCTGAATAGAATAGAATCAAAAAGAATAGAACAGAATAGAAAAAAATACAAATAGAATTAAACAGAATAGAATAGAAAATAAAATAGAATAGAAAATAAATGAATAGGATAGAATAGAAAATAAAATATTAAATATTAAATGGAATACAACAGAATAGAATAGAAAATAATTCAAAAATGAATTTGAATTCAAAATGGAAACATATTGCAGTAAGGTATAAAAGAGACATAAGGTGATGATTCCTGCTGAATAGAATAGAATCAAAAAGAATGTAATAGCGTAGATTATAATAGAATAGAATAAAAAAAGAATACGAATAGAATTAAACAAAATAGAATAGAAAAATAAAAAATAAAATAGAATACAATAGAATAGAAAATAAATGAATGTAGAATAGAAAATAAATAAAATAGAATACAACAGAATAGAATAGAAAATAAATGAAAAGAATAGAAAAAATTGAATACAACAAAATAGAAGAGAAATAATTCAAAAATGAATTTGATTTCGAAATGGAAACATATTGCAGTAATTGCAGTAAGGTATAAAAAAGAAATAAAGTGATGATTCCTGCTGAATAGAATAGAATCAAAAAGAATATATAACAGAATAGAAAATAATAGAATAGTATAAAAAAAATGAATATGAATAGAATTAAACAGAATAGAATAGAAAATAAAAAATAAAATAGAATACAACAGAATAGAAAAACAAATGAGTGATAGAATAGAAAATAAAAAAATAGAATACAATTGAATAGAATAGAAAATAAATGAATAGGATAGAATAGAAAAATAAAAAATAAAATAGAATACAACAGAACAGAATAGGAAATAAATGAATAGGATAGAATAGAAAATAAAGGTTTGGAATAGAACAGAAAAGAATAGAATAGAATAGAAAAATAAAAGAATAAAAATGAATAGAATAGAAAATAAAACCGAATTGAAAATAATCTAATAAAATACAATAAAACAAAATAGAAAATAATAGAATAGAACAGAATAGAATGGAATTGAAAATAAAAGAATAGAAAAGAATAAAATTGAAAATAGAAGAATAGAAAATAATAGAAAAAATAAATAGAACAAATATAGCCATCTTCTGAAATTTCCAGTTGGGGTTTCAAATTTCGAATCGATTTGAAAATAACAAATATGCAAAAAATTCCGAATATACAAAACAAAAATGAATTGTTCTAATATAACAAATCTGATGAAACGAAATGATCACCTGAATGAAGGAATCTGAAATGGAACCAGGCGGATTTCCCCCGTCGTGCTCATCTCTAACAGCAGCCAGCCAAAAACAATGAGAATAATAAACGTGATAAAAGTGCAGAAAGCCCGGAACAACTTAACAAAACCTATGTACAAAATGGAGGGAGCTTACATGGACTGGGACAGGAAACAAGAGAAGCGGGGTACTGGGTGCGGAGAGCGGGGTACTGGGTGCGGAGAGCGGGTACTGGGTGCAGAGAGCAGGGTACTGGGTGCGGAGAGCGGGGTACTGGGTGCAGAGAGCAGGGTACTGGGTGCGGAGAGCGGGGTACTGGGTGCAGAGAGCGGGGTACTGGGTGCAGAGAGCAGGGTACTGGGTGCAGAGAGTGGGGTACTGGATGCAGAGAGCGGGGTACTGGATGCGGAGAGCAGGGTACTGGGTGCGGAGAGCGGGGTACTGGGTGCGGAGAGCGGGGTACTGGGTGCAGAGAGCGGGGTACTGGGTGCAGAGAGTGGGGTACTGGATGCAGAGAGCAGGGTACAGGGTGCGGAGAGCGGGGTACAGGGTGTGCGGAGAGCGGGGTACAATGTATGGAGGGAGCTTACATGGACTGGGACAGGAAACAAGAGAAGCGGGGTACTGGATGCAGAGAGCGGGGTACTGGATGCAGAGAGCGGGGTACTGGGTGCAGAGAGCAGGGTACTGGGTGCAGAGAGCAGGGTACTGAGTGCAGAGAGCGGGGTACTGGATGCAGAGAGCAGGGTACTGGGTGCGGAGAGCGGGGTACTGGGTGCGGAGAGCGGGGTACAGGGTACGGAGAGTGGGGTACTGGGTGCGGAGAGCGAGGTACTGGGTGCGGAGAGCGGGGTACTGGGTGCGGAGAGCGGGGTACTGGGTGCGGATAACGGGGTACTGGGTGCGGAGAGCGGGGTACTGGGTGCGGAGAGCGGGGTACTGGGTGCGGAGAGCGGGGCACTGGGTGCGGAGAACGGGGCACTGGGTGCGGAGAGCGGGGTACTGGGTGCGGAGAGCAAGGTGCTGGATGCGGAGAGCGGGGTACTGGTTGCGGAGAGCGGGGTACTGGTTGCGGAGAGCGGGGTACTGGGTGCGGAGAGCGGGGTACTGGTTGCGGAGAGCGGGTACTGGGTGCGAAGAGCGGGGTACTGGGTGCGGAGAGCGGGGTACAGGGTGCGGAGAGCGGGGTACAGGGTGCACGGTACAGGCGACTGAGTACTGGATATTGGAAGCCGGTCACAGGTCACAAGGCGCAGGATCAGGCAGGGAAATGGCTCACAGGTAGAACACTGCAGCATCGATCTTCATCAAGGAAGGGATTAAATACATTCCCAGCAGCCAGTATCATTTGCAGCCTGTTGACTAGGATAGGTGTATTGATGGGAGACACCCACTGGTGGCCACCAGAACTGCGCCATTCCACTCTAGGAACAACAGTGCCACCAGCAATTGACCCAGGCCCCTCACACAAGTCCTGACATGACGGGTATCGCAACTTTACAATTAGGTGCTGAGCTAACCCATCAGTGGGAGGAATAGTGCCCCATCATTGTGTCAGTGGGAGGAATAGTGCCCCATCATTGGTGTCAGTGGGAGGAATAGTGCCCCATCATTGGTGTCAGTGGGAGGAATAGTGCCCCATCATTGGTGTCAGTGGGAGGAATAGTGCCCCATCATTGGTGTCAGTGGGAGGAATAGTGCCCCATCATTGGTGTCAGTGAGAGGAATAGTGCCCCATCATTGGTGTCAGTGGGAGGAATAGTGCCCCATCATTGGTGTCAGTGGGAGGAATAGTGCCCCATCATTGGTGTCAGTGGAGGAATAGTGCCCCATCATTGGTGTCAGTGGGAGGAATAGTGCCCCATCATTGGTGTCAGTGGGAGGAATAGTGCCCCATCATTGGTATCAGTGGGAGGAATAGTGCCCCATCATTGGTGTCAGTGGGAGGAATAGTGCCCCATCATTGGTGTCAGTGGGAGGAATAGTGCCCCATCATTGGTGTCAGTGGGAGGAATAGTGTCCCATCATTGGTGTCAGTGGGAGGAATAGTGCCCCATCATTGGTGTCAGTGGGAGGAATAGTGCCCCATCATTGGTATCAGTGGGAGGAATAGTGCCCCATCATTGGTATCCGTGGGAGGAATAGTGCCCCATCATTGGTGTCAGTGGAAGAAATGGTGCACCATCATTGGTGTCAGTGGGAAGAACAGTGCCTCATCATTATTTTTAATTGGAGGAATAGTGCCCCATCATTGGTGTCAGTGGGAAGAATAGTGCTCCATCATTGGTGTCAGTGGGAGGAATAGTGCCCCATCATTGGTGTCAGTGGGAGGAATAGTGCCCCATCATTGGTGTCAGTGGGAGGAATCGTGCCCCATCATTGGTGTCAGTGGGAGGAATCGTGCCCCATTGTTGGTGTCAGTGGGAGGAATAGTGCCCCATCATTGGTGTCAGTGGGAGGAATAGTGCCCCATCATTGGTATCAGTGGGAGGAATAGTGCTCCATCATTGGTGTCAGTGGGAGGAATAGTGCCCCATCATTGGTGTCAGTGGGAGGAATAGTGCCCCATCATTGGTGTCAGTGGGAGGAATCGTGCCCCATTGTTGGTGTCAGTGGGAGGAATAGTGCCCCGTCATTGGTATCAGTGGGAGGAATAGTGCTCCATCATTGGTGTCAGTTGACTTGGAGGAATAGTGCCCTAAGGGCCACAGTTTGGAGACCTCTGGTTTAGGCCAACCTTGTGGTGACAGTTTGGTTAAAACCCATTTCTGTTCCACCATGACTGTTCCCTGTGTACACAGCCGGCTCCATAAAGACATGATGTGACCTTTCTAGTTTGGAAGAACTTGTCCTTCACAGAGCCCTGACCTCAACCCTACTGAACACCTTTGGGATAGAGTGATGTGATCCAGGTCTTCTCATCCACCATTGGTACCTGACCTCACAAATGCTCTTCTGGCTGAAAAGACCTGAATCCCAAACAGACGCACTTGTAGGTTTTGTGGAAACCTTCCCGAAGGAGTCCAAAGGGGGGCCAATTCCATATCACTGACCATGGTGTTGGAATGGGATGCCCAGTAAGCTGTGTGATGGTCCATTGACCATACCTCGTATCTCTAGATCTTCTCCCTACTCCAGCATCCACCTCCCATGGTCACATGGCACCATTGTCCTCTGCTCTAATGGTGGACTGGTGTACCAGGTAAGGGTGACATCAGGTGGACACCACAGGAACTCTGGTTGGAATTTTCTCACGGACTTGGTAGCACATAATGCCTAGACAGTCCCTGACACCAAATGTATCGGTGATGAGAACAAGGTGAGACCATGATGAGACTTTTGTGTTCTTTCAGATGATGAAGATGATAGTAAAGGGTCTTTTCCTCATCACCGGCTCCCTCCTCTTCCTCGTCTTCCCTCCAATGATCTTCAGCTACGTGGAGGGGTGGAGCTACTGTGAAGGATTCTACTTTGCCTTCATTACACTGAGCACCATCGGATTCGGTGACTATGTTGTAGGTAATGACATCTCTATTGTCTGCACTGCAGTCTATGGGAGGACATTGGTGTGTGTGTGAGGTCTTCCCACGGGGCTCCTTCAAAGCAAATCTGATTGTCCATCATTTCCCATTAAGTGTCTCAAGTACATTTCCGGAGCCCAGGCACTGGACAGGATCTAACAGTACTTTTCTGTTTGTCATGTCATCTCCCCCCCCCCCAAGGAGAGAGCGAGAGAGTTCAATAAGTGTGTGTATGTGTATATGATTTCTTCCCCCCCCTCTCTCCCCCCTCTCTCTCCCCCCCTCTCTTCCCCCTCTCTCTCTCTTCCCCCCTCCCCCCCTCTCTCTTCCCCTCTCCCCCCTATCAATCTTCCCCCTCTCCCCCTCTCTCTCCTCCCCCTCTCTCTTCCCCTCCATCTCTCCCCCCCCCCTCTCTCTTCCCCTCCACCTCTCTCCCCCCCCTCCATCTCTCCCCCCCCCCCCCTCTCTCTCTTCCCCTCTCTCTCTCTTCCCTTCCATCTCCCCCCCCTCTCTCTCTTCCCCTCCATCTCTCTCCCCCCCCCCCTCTCTCTTCCCCTCCATCTCTCTCCCCCTCTCCTCTCTCTCTCTCTTCCCTCCATCTCTCTCCCCCCCTCTCTCTCTCTATTCCCCTCCATCTCTTCCCCCCCTCTCTCTCTTCCCCTCCATCTCCCCCCCTCCTCTCTCTCCCCCTCCACCTCTCTTCCCCCCTCTCTCTCTTCCCCCCTCTCTCTCTTCCCCCCTCTCTCTCTTCCCCCCCCTCTCTCTCCCCTCCTCTCTCCCCCCCTCTCTCTCTTCCCCCTCTCTCTCTTCCCCCTCTCTCTCTTCCCCCTCTCTCTCTTCCCCTCCATCTCCCCCCCTCTCTCTCTCCCCCTCCATCTCTCCCCCCCCCTCTCTCTCCCCCCTCTCTCTCTTCCCCTCTCTCTTGCTCTCTTCCCCTCCATCCCTCCCCCCTCTATCTTCCCCTCCATCTCTCTCCCCCCCTCTCTCTCTCTTTTCCCCACTCTCTTTCTCTTCCCCTCCATCTCCCCCCTCTCTCTCTCTCTCCCCCCTCTCTCTCGCTCTCTTCCCCTCCATCCCTCCCCCCTCTATCTTCCCCTCCATCTCTCCCCCCCCTCTCTCTCTCTCTCTCCCCCTCTCTCTCTCTCTTCCCCCCTCTCTCTCTTCCCCTCCATCTCCCCCCCCTCTCTCTCTCTTCCCCTCTCTCTCTCTCGCTCTCTTCCCCTCCCCCCCCCCCTCTATCTTCCCCTCCATCTCTCCCCCCCTCCATCTCTCTCCCCCCCCTCTCTCTCTTCCCCTCTCTCTCGCTCTCTTCCCCTCCATCCCTCCCCCCTCTATCTTCCCCTCCATCTCTCTCCCCCCCCCTCTCTCTTCCCCCTCTCTCTCTCTCTCTTCCCCCCTCTCTCTCTCTCTCCTCTCCTCTCTCTCTCTCTCTTCCCCTCTCTCTCTCTCTTCCCCCCTCTCTCTCTCTATCTTCTCCTTCCCTCTCTTCCCCCTCCCCCCTCTCTCCCCCCCCCCTCTCCCTCTCTCTCCTCCCCCTCTCTATCTCTCCCTCTCCCCCCTCTTCCCCCCATCTCTATCTCTCCCTCCCTCCCCCCCTCCCTCTCTCCCCTCTCTCTCTTCCCCCTCTCTCTCTTCCTCTCTCTCTTCCCTCTTCTCTCTTCCTTCCCTCTCTCTCTCTCTCTGTCTTCCCTCTTACTCTTCCCCCCACCCCCCCTTCCTCAGATCCTATGGAACTACACCCCCCCTCCCCTCCAAGGGGCTGCTGATCTCCAGGAAGCAGGAAGGTGGTGGTGGTGGTGGGGGGGGGGGGGGGGGGGGCGGAAGGTGAGGTCTGTGCATTATTTATTGATATATTTTGAAATATATTACCTATGGCCAAAATTGTAGTATTTCAATTATATGCCAATATATTTGGGAAGAATATTTTTAAAATATATTTCCGATATATTTTTCTTCCATGTGAGTTTGTGGGTTGAATTCCGAAAGAATTTTCTTTCCAAAATCTTTCCTAAGAATTTTCGTTTGAATTTCGCACCGTTAGTGGGTCACAGAAACGGCCGATTTTCGTATGACCATCGAATTTGAGTGATCGGGCCTGTTGGAAATTTTTTGAAAAACGAACAAATTTCGAATCAATGACGGGAGAATCGTGCGGGAAATATAAAGCTGTGACCTGGAAAGAAATGAAAATTCTTGGCCACGAAAATTCTTTTCTGTAGCAACATGAGGAGAAACTGACGGCTCGGTTGGTTGAATTTCGAAATCAATGGTGGCGCCATCGGGTTACAAAACACACAAAATTTCCGATTTTCTGAAGAAAATTAGTTCGGACTTCGACCTATTAGGGAGGGTTTCCAGAGGTTGCTCGGGGTTACTCAAGAGGTTGCTCAGGTTCCTCCAGAGGTTGCTCGGGGTTCCTCCAGAGGTTGCTCGGGGTTCCTCCAGAGGTTGCTCAGGGTTCCTCCAGAGGTTGCTCGGGGTTCCTCCAGAGGTTGCTCGGGGTTCCTTGAGCTCAGGGTTCCTCTCCAATGAGCAATTTCTGCCTCTCAGATAAGTTCCCACTGACACCATTGATCTTATTAGCTCTCTGTAAGGGGGGAATCCTTCCCACTGACCACCAATGTCAGGAGTTCCTTGAGATCGAATAGTTATTTCAAGGGTTCCTTTGTGTTGAAAAGGGTGAGAGAGGCTGCAGTGAGGTATAAAAGTGAAACAAGATGATCATTCCTACTTACATCGGCTGCTTTATAACATAGAATAGAAAAGAATGGAATAGAATAAAATAGTATACAATGGAACAGAATAGAAAATAATAAAATAAAACAACAGAATAGAAAATAAAGAATGAAATAGAATAGAAAAAAGAAACAAACTGAATAGAATCAAATAGAACGAATATAGCCACCTTCCAAAAATTGATTTTAAAATTAAAATTGTTTGGTGTCAATAGGTGGAATAGTGCCCCATCATTGGTGTCAGTGGGAGGAATAGTGCCCCATCATTGGTGTCAGTGGGAGGAATAGTGCCCCATCATTGGTGTCAGTGGGAGGAATAGTGCCCCATCATTGGTGTCAGTGGGAGGAATAGTGCCCCATCATTGGTGTCAGTGGGAGGAATAGTGCCCCATCATTGGTGTCAGTGGGAGGAATAGTGTCCCATCATTGGTGTCAGTGGGAGGAATAGTGCCCCATCATTGGTGTCAGTGGAAGGAATAGTGCCCCATCATTGGTATCAGTGGATGGAATAGTGCCCCATCATTGGTGTCAGTGGGAGGAATAGTGCCCCAACATTGGTATCAGTGTGAAGAATAGTGCCCCATCATTGGTGTCAGTGTGAGGAAGTGTAGTGCCCCATCATTGGTGTCAGTGGGAGGAATAGTGCCCCATCATTGGTGTCAGTGGGAGGAATAGTGCCCCATCATTGGTATCACTGGGAGGAATGGTGCCTCATCATTGGTGTCAGTGGGAGGAACGGTGCCTCATCATTGGTGTCAGTGGGAGGAACGGTGCCCCATCATTGGTGTCAGTGGGAGGAACAGTGCCCCATCATTGGTGTCAGTGGGAGGAACAGTGCCCCAACATTGGTATCAGTGGAAGAATAGTGCCCCATCATTGGTGTCAGTGGGAGGAACAGTGCGCCATCATTGGTATCAGTGGGAGGAATAGTGCCTCATCATTGGTGTCAGTGGGAGGAATAGTGCCCCATCATTGGTGTCAGTGGGGCGAATAGTGCCCCATCATTGGTGTCAGTGGGGGAATACTGCCCCATCATTGGTGTCAGTGGGAGGAATAGTGCCCCATCATTGGTATCAGTGGGAGGAATAGTGCCCCATCATTGGTATCAGTGGGAGGAATAGTGCCCCATCATTGGTGTCAGTGGGAGGAATACTGCCCCATCATTGGTGTCAGTGGGAGGAATAGTGCCCCATCATTGGTATCAGTGGGAGGAATAGTGACCCATCATTGGTGTCAGTGGGAGGAATAGTGCCCCATCATTGGTGTCAGTGGGAGGAATAGTGCCCCATCATTGGTGTCAGTGTGAGGAATAGTGCCCCATCATTGGTATCAGTGGGAGGAATAGTGCCCCATCGTTGGTGTCAGTGGGAGGAATAGTGCCCCATCGTTGGTGTCAGTGGGAGGAATAGTGCCCCATCGTTGATATCAGTGGGAGGAATAGTGCCCCATCATTGGTGTCAGTGGGAGGAATAGTGCCCCATCGTTGGTGTCAGTGGGAGGAATAGTGCTCCATCATTGGTGTCAGTGGGAGGAATAGTGCCCCATCATTGGTGTCAGTGGGAGGAATAGTGCCCCATCATTGGTGTCAGTGGAAGGAATAGTGCCCCCTCATTGGTGTCAGTGGAAGAAATGGTGCCGCATTGTTGGTGTCAGTGCAGGAATTGTGCCTCCAGGGGAAGATAAAGGCAGGCAGAGGGCAGCGTTTGTCCCCCGGGGGGGAGGGGCAGTTTGGAGATCTCTGCGTTACAACATCACATTTTGCAGGGAAGATGTTTTTAGAGGGGAATCTGGAATCTGACGTTTCTGTCTATCTATATATTTGCCGTCAGGGAAGGATCCCAGCAAACACTACATATCGATGTATCGAAGTTTAGCCGCGCTGTGGATTATATTCGGCTTGGCCTGGCTGGCTTTGGTGTTCAATTTGGTGGCAGAATTGGTGGAAAAACATTGGTGCAATGGCGGATGTTAAGGAAGGACGCTGCGAAGGAGGAAACCGGCGTGCAAAAAGCGGACGATCACCCGATCCACATCCAGCATGGAATCCGGATGTAGAACCGTGCCGCGGAACCTCTGGGAACTCAGACGGCCGAGTATGGAAACCATGTGGACCGGAGAACTGGGCGGAGCCTGGTCATCAGTGCACCTCGGGAAAAAGAAAAATGGATTCCGGGATGCAGAAATGTTTACGGGGCCCAAACATGACGGCTCCGCGGTTTTGCCCGATGAGTAACTTTTCACGAAGAAAAAAAAAAAAAAAAATTCTTGGCTGTTAAGTTCCTGCTGGCTCCAGGATTGGACTGAATGGTTCCTGAACTCTACAAGAACTTGTCTCCCCCTCCCCATTTGTACTACATAGGCCAGGACAATGCCACCCATGTGGGACAGTGTGAGCGTTGGGAATGATGAACCAATACGACCCATTCTGCAAATGAGGAACGCGAGGGGCGGAGAGATTCTCCTCCAATGTTGGTATATAGAGGAGTGGGCGGAGTTCCGCCTGCTCTGCGGATTGTAACAATATGATCATCTGATAGTTACATTGTATCATACGACGTCATGTAATACGGTGCGGAGTAATGGGATGTAATCGTGTGATGTTCCCGGGAGATTGTGGGAAGCGGAAATAATTATTTAAAAAGTGGAGATGATCGGAGGCTGAGCGGGAATTCTGGAATCTGTAGTTCCTCAGGATGCCTTCAAGCCTGATGCAGGCCATAGACGGGTCGGAAATCGGCCAATTTTGGCACCATTAGTGGGTTAATTTGGTCGGACGTTTTTTGGGATTTTGGCACTTTTTTTTTTTATGAAGTTGGAAAAAAAGCAGCCGATTTTTTGATCGATCGGCCGATTTTCCCGGCAATGATGGGCAAATCGGCCGATCTTTTTACCGATAAAAAATCTGCGCATGAGCCGTGACCTGGAAGAGGAAGAAGAAGAAAAAAAACAAGAATTCCAGTCCGCTATTATATTTTATATGAAAAGTCTTGCGGTTGCAACAATGTATCTATTTGTATCCGAATAAAACATCTGTATCCGAAATGGATACAAATGGATACAAATGGATACAAATGGATACATTGTTGGAACCGCAAGACTTTCATGTAAAAAATATAGCGGAGCTCTCTCTGCAGGGACAGAAGTAATTAAATGCCGGCCGAGACGGGACGATTTTTTTTACCGTTGGTGGTAACGTCGGCCTATTGAACGACCGATTTTTCATTTTTTTTTTTTTTTTAAAAACGGTCGATTTTCGACCCGTCTATGGCCTGCATAAGTTTAGCTAAATATTAAAAACAAAAAAAAAACAGCACAAGGGACATAACTTAGTAGGATGTGTCATTTAATGAATCAATGTGCTGATTCTTTTTCTTTTAGGAGAAATCTATCTCCATCTTACACCTACCGTAGAGGCCGCAGTAGGGATTCTCATAGAGGTTGTAGTAGGGTTTCTCATAGAGGCCATAGTAGGGATTCTCATAGAGGCCGCAGTAGTAGGTATTCTCATAGAGGCCGTAGTAGGTATTCTCATAGAGGCCGCAGTAGGTATTCTCATAGAGGCCGTAGTAGGTATTCTCATAGAGGCCGTAGTAGGGATTCTCATAGAGGCTGTAGTAGGGATTCTCATAGAGGCCGTAGTAGGTATTCTCATAGAGGCCGTAGTAGGGATTCTCATAGAGGCTGTAGTAGGGATTCTCATAGAGGCCGTAGTAGGTATTCTCATAGAGGCCGTAGTAGGGATCTCATAGAGGCCGTAGTAGGGATTCTCATAGAGGCCGCAGTAGGGATTCTCATAGACGCCGCAGTAGGGATTCTCACAGAGGTTGTAGTAGGGATTCTCATAGAAGCCGTTGTAGAGATTCTCATAGAAGCCGTTGTAGGGATTCTCACAGAGGTTGTAGTAGGGATTCTCATAGAAGCCGTTGTAGGGATTCTCATAGAAGCCGTTGTAGGGATTCTCATAGAAGCCGTAGTAGGTATTCTCATAGAGGCCGTAGTAGGTATTCAAATAGAGGCCGTAGTAGGGATTCTCATAGAGGCTGTAGTAAGGATTCTCATAGAGGCCGTAGTAGGGATTCTCATAGAGGCCGTAGTAAGGATTCTCATAGAGGCCGTAGTAGGGATTCTCATAGAGGCTGTAGTAAGGATTCTCATAGAGGCCGCAGTAGGGATTCTCACAGAGGTTGTAGTAGGGATTCTCATAGAGGCCGTAGTAGGGATTCTCATAGAGGCCGTAGTAGGGATTCTCATAGAGGCCGTAGTAGGGATTCTCATAGAGGCCGTAGTAAGGATTCTCATAGAAGCCATAGCAGAGATTCTCACAGAGGTTGGAGTAGGGATTCTCACAGAAGCTGTAGTAGGGATTCTCACAGAAGCTGTAGTAGGGATTCTCACAGAGGTTGTAGTAGGGATTTTCACAGAGGCCGTAGCAGGGATTCTCACAGAGGCCGTAGTAGGGATTCTCACAGAAGCTGTAGTAGGGATTCTCACAGAAGCTGTAGTAGGGATTCTCACAGAGGTTGTAGTAGGGATTCTCACAGAGACCGTAGTAGGGATTCTCACAGAGGTTGTAGTAGGGATTCTCACAGAGGTTGTAGTAGGGATTCTCACAGAGGCCGTAGTAGGGATTCTCACAGAGGCCGTAGTAGGGATTCTCACAGAGGCCGTAGTAGGGATTCTCATAGAGGCCGTAGTAAGGATTCTCATAGAGGCCGTAGTAGGGATTCTCATAGAGGCTGTAGTAAGGATTCTCATAGAGGCCGCAGTAGGGATTCTCACAGAGGCCGTAGTAGGGATTCTCATAGAGGCCGTAGTAGGGATTCTCATAGAGGCCGTAGTAGGGATTCTCATAGAGGCCGTAGTAGGGATTCTCATAGAGGCCGTAGTAGGGATTCTCATAGAGGCCGTAGTAAGGATTCTCATAGAAGCCATAGCAGAGATTCTCACAGAGGTTGGAGTAGGGATTCTCACAGAAGCTGTAGTAGGGATTCTCACAGAAGCTGTAGTAGGGATTCTCACAGAGGTTGTAGTAGGGATTTTCACAGAGGCCGTAGTAGGGATTCTCACAGAGGCCGTAGTAGGGATTCTCACAGAAGCTGTAGTAGGGATTCTCACAGAAGCTGTAGTAGGGATTCTCACAGAGGTTGTAGTAGGGATTCTCACAGAGACCGTAGTAGGGATTCTCACAGAGGTTGTAGTAGGGATTCTCACAGAGGTTGTAGTAGGGATTCTCACAGAGGCCGTAGTAGGGATTCTCACAGAGGCCGTAGTAGGGATTCTCACAGAGGCCGTAGTAGGGATTCTCATAGAGGCCGTAGTAGGGATTCTCATAGAGGCCGTAGTAGGGATTCTCATAGAGGCCGTAGTAAGGATTCTCATAGAAGCCATAGCAGAGATTCTCACAGAGGTTGGAGTAGGGATTCTCACAGAAGCTGTAGTAGGGATTCTCACAGAGGTTGTAGTAGGGATTTTCACAGAGGCCGTAGCAGGGATTCTCACAGAGGCCGTAGTAGGGATTCTCACAGAAGCTGTAGTAGGGATTCTCACAGAAGCTGTAGTAGGGATTCTCACAGAGGTTGTAGTAGGGATTCTCACAGAGACCGTAGTAGGGATTCTCACAGAGGTTGTAGTAGGGATTCTCACAGAGGTTGTAGTAGGGATTCTCACAGAGGCCGTAGTAGGGATTCTCACAGAGGTTGTAGTAGGGATTCTCACAGAGGCCGTAGTAGGGATTCTCACAGAAGCCGTAGTAGGGATTCTCACAGAGGTTGTAGTAGGGATTCTCCTGATGACCCTTTAGCTGTATGAACCCCTCCTGCACCTGGAGATTACAGCAGCAAGAGCGGGTTGGGGGAGGACGATTTCTCCTAAAAGAAGAAGAATCAGCACAAGGGACACATTGGGGTTGATTTACTAAAGGCAAATAGACTGTGTACTCTGCAATGTGCAGTTGCCCTCAGTGGTGTATTTAGGTTTTGTGCTGCATTAGGCAACACAAATATTGGCCTACCCCCCCCCCCCCCATCTCCCCGTGGAGAGAGCCTGGCACTGACCAACACCCCCACAAAGTGTATGGTTCAAATCGTACGGCACAGACATTTGCGTGTCATTCACATTAGTAATGTGGTGCGATTTCCATACAAATTACACGCGTGTCCCGCACCGCAGTGTGATCCCAGGCTAAAGTGGTCCTCTTAGCCGTCAGGTCCTCGTGATGTCGGCATGTTTGGTGTTGAATTGATCGATATCTTCCTCTACATTCATGTAAACACTTTTCAGGAAGGTAACTTCATCCCAGTAAGAATGACAGAATATTTATACAGTTGGACTGCAGGAAGTTCAGCTATAGGTGAGTGCAAGTCTGCACCCCGGCCTCACAGAGGTGCAGTTCTAAAAAGACCATGGAGACCTCATCACAGGGTCCTTTGAAGGCCTTGGGGGGGGGGGGGGGGGTCAGGTTTATGTTGCCTCTGCATTTCATCCAAGTGGCCCGATCTTCGTTCAATGCGTCCGTTTCCTTGGATGGTCAACGCAGACAAAAGAATTGAATCGGATCGTCTTGTTACTGACTTCTGAATTTTGGGGAAATCGAAGGTGACATTTTATTACTAAAACTGGAGCACACAGAATCTGGTGCAGCTCTGCACAGGAACCAATCCACTTCCGGGTTTTATTGGCAAAGCTTAACTGAACAAGATGAAGGTAGAAGCTGATTGGCCACCATGCAGAGCTGCACCAGATTCTGAGTGTTGCAGTTTTAGTAAATCTCCAATCTAATCCCCCCCCCCCCCCCCCCACTGTGTTTTAGCCCAATCTCCCCATTCTCTCCGCACAGGTTGGGGTTCATCAGACCTCATATCCTCACACCAGAGGTTTTTTTTCTGTTTTAGATACAGCGGACAAGAGTTGGACCCTTTGCCTGGTTTTTATTGCTTCATATTGGGGAGATCTGCCCTCCCTTCCTGACTGTAC